AGAATGGAAAAATCCCACCCCCCAGCCCCAAACCTTTCACCCTTCGCCCCATGGTTGCCTAATGCCATGGTTGTTTCGTCCTCAAAGCCATCACAAAGCGGAAGATGCGCATCAAACGCACTGCCTTGACAATGCGCGTGATACGAATAATACGAAAGGCCTGCGATGAGCGCCAGTGATCTCGGGGGTGTCATCAATGGGGGATTTAACCCCCAGTTATGGTCATCAATGAGGAAAATGATGATTGACCATGGTTAACTGATTAAGGAATGGATTTGGAATGCAAACCTCCGTTTAGTTGGGGCCAAGGGGGCAAAAGAAGTAGCAAAACAGTTGAGGGGAGACATGGAGATAGTTCAGAGTAGAAAATTGAGGTAAATCTCAAAGTCAGGCATTGATTCAATTTTTCAGTGACCAGGTTAGTCGATGATTCGGTCACCCAATTGTTTATTGAATAATCCAGTCATTCACTCTTTCAGCTAACAACGGGAAGGCATAGATCACTCCCACTGAGAGCAGGCACGGGGGAGCAAATATGGGTTTGAACCATCGGTGGGTGGACAAAGAGCAGCTCACTCTTGGGACATCCTCAAGTGGGCACCTGCTCAAATTTCAAGTTGTTTGGATTCCAACCTCCTAGGGCATCCCAATTTCATTGCCACTGAACTGGATGGCAGCCATGAGACAACCCACAGACTGCTGATTAAGTCACCCAAAATGTCCCACAAGCATCTTAATGCCCAATACTTTGTGTACCAACAATAAATCATACGTATATATGCATATGTTTATATTTATATATATATATGCATATTTAAATATATATATATATGCATACAGGTAAATATACATATATATATATATGTGTGTGCACATAGGTATATATGGATTTATGGATATGTGGATGTGTGTGAATATGTAAATATGCATACATGTATATATATATGAATGTATGTACGTAGGTATTTATGTATGTATTTATGTACGTATGTACGTATGTACGTATGTACGCATGTACGTATGTGCGCATGTACGTATGTACGTATGTACGTATGGACCTATGGACGTATGGACGCATGGATGTATGTACGTATGTACGTATGTACGTGCGTCCGTACGTACGTACGTGCGTTACGTATGTATGTATGTATGTATGAATGTATGTATGTATGTATGTATGCATGCATGCATGCATGCATGCATGCATGCATGTATGTATGTATGTATGTGTGCGTATGGTATGTCTGTTTGTGTGTGTATGCATATTTGTACGTATAATTGTGTACTTGTGTCTGTGTATATTTGCATACTTGTACATGTGTGTATATTTGTATATTTGTGATTTAGTGTGTATATATATATATATATATAGGCTCAAGGCTGGGGGTTCCCCAGAGCTTCGAGGAACCCTCAGTCTTGATGCTATACCAGAAAGGTCGTTCTTGTATACAGATGGGGGGGGGGGGGGGGGGTGTAATAACGTCATGTGAAGTGCGTTGGATGATGTTGAATCCTGGAAGATGTTGCTTGGTTGGAAGATGGTGTTACGTTGAAAGTTTCGTTGTCGTTTACAGAAGGGGAGTGGGGGGGTGGGGGGGGGTGTAATAACGTCATGTGAAAAACATAAAACACTGTAAAACACAGTGTGAAAACAACATGTTCCATCGCCATCAAAAAAAACTTCATGGACGCGAAGATAAAAAGGATGTGATGTTCATTTCGTCCATGGTTCTCCAGTGAATTATCACATGTTCTACTTATCAACAGAACAACCAAAAATGCATGAAACCGCACTTCAAATGGTTAGCATGTTCCACACATCTTTAGTCATCCATGGGAGATGTAAAATTTTCCTGTTTCAGCACGGACAAACGTCAAGTTCTTCCGCGATGAAACTGGAAGTTCGATTGATCAAACCGTTTCAGAGAAAAACACAAAACACTGTAAAACACAGTGTAAAAAAAAAAAAAACATTCTTCCATCGCCATGCCAAAATAAAGGTTTGGGAAAGCGAAGATGAAAAATATGTGATGTTCATTTCGTCCATGGTTCTCCAGTGGATTATGACATGTTGTACTTATCAACAAAAACTGAAAAAATGTATGAAACCGCAATTCCAATGGGAAAAATGTTGAACGCATTTTTGGCCATCCATGGAAGATGTAAATTTATCATTTTTCTGCGCGGACAAACTCCGAGTTTATCCGCGCCGACATTGATACTTTCACTGATGGAACACTTTCAAGGGAAGGCAAAAAACACTGTAAAACACAGTATAAAATCAATATTTTCCATATCCATACAATTAAATTGCAACTGGCTTCCGGGGAACCCCCAGCTTCCGCCCTATATATATATATATATATGTATACATATATATATATATATATACATATATATATATGTATATACATAAATATATATATATATATATGTATATACAGATATATGTGTATATACATATATATGTGTATAGTTGTGAATGTTTATATTGTATATGTGTGTCTCATATAATCTATAGGATGTTATCTCTAAATCATCTAATTACATCTATTGTATCTATACATACTTCAACTCTATTTTCACTTTACGTGGCAACCCAATCTTGGAAACAAAACCAGATCTTAAAGTCAGATCACTTCTCCAATTTGAACCGAAAAAATTGGAATCTGTTTTGAAGGTGGGAATCATCATGTAGCTGTAGGCCACTCTAGGCATTCCGTCTGAAAGACTGGCACTTCCGGCAGTGCCAAGTACATACTTGGATATGCCACTGACTAGCCCTGGCTGGAACCATGCTGGTTCTCCTCTCCTCTCACCATTGGATCATTTACCCAGACTCATCGACCGTCGGCCACCAACTGGCCCCCTCTCCTTGAAACTCGACATCTCATTGAAGCTTATAGAGTTTGTTGAGCCAGTGGTCGGCCAAAAATAGATGGCATCCTTGGAAGATGCTGACCCAAGGCCACTTTCAGTTGTGAGAAGAACCTGCAAAGGTCAATCAGAAACGCTCTACATTTTACAGACAGATTTATATGCAGTCAAATGTATATATTCATATATAGGTTATAAACTGTATATATATTTATAAACATATATATATATGCTGCTTGCATATTTTATTATATATATACATATGCCCATATGTACGCCTTTTAACCATCCCTGTCTCATCCTTGCCTCATCTCCCAACATGTTCATGCACCCGACCTACAGTAGGTCCGGCTCATCACGTGCCACCAAGTTTCCATCACGATATCCCACAATGAAGTAATAACGATGAAGGTGTCCAAAAGCGCCCACATCCAATCCTAGGTCTGGCGCAACAACATGAAACCACTGAAGCAGATGAAATCTGCCACTTCCAAACAAATATTTTCTTCGAATTGCCCCCACAACTGACATTCTATCTGACAAATATTCTGATGGCATTCTTTCTGGCATTCTAGCTGGCATATATATTTTGGGTTCTATCGGGCATGTTACCCGGCAGACTGACTAACTTTTTCTCTGACATTCTTTCTTGCACCTGAGCTCGCATTCTAGCATATCATATGCCATTCTATCTGACATTTCATCTGGCATCCTTTCTGGCAGTCTGTCTGACATACATTCTGGCATTCTATCTGGCATATATTTTGACCTTCTGTTATTTCACATTATTTTGAACATTTTATCTACAATGTAATCTGACATTTTGTCTGGCATCCTTGCTGGCATCTTATCTGACATTCTTTCTGGCATGCGTTTGGATCTGTGTGTGCCCAGCGGGGAGCTGGCAGGAGGGCACTTGTTGTGAGATCCGGGTCCGTTGGTGCCCACAGTGGCAACGAACTGGCACAGAGGAGGACGGCGGAGGAAGAAGGAAGGAGCTGCACCTTTGTTAAAATCTAGAGGCCCTCACCTGGCAGGTGGGGAAAAATTTGTATACGTAGATTAAATTCAAGAAAACCGCTAACATGTATCTAACGTGATGCAATTCTATATGCATATGTGCTAACCGTCTCTCTGGTATCTATTCATACATTCTATGTAACATAACTTTATCTGACATGGTTTCGGGGCCTTCCTATTTGATATTTTGCTGACAGTCTATCTGACATGATTATATATATATATATATTCTGACATGCTATTTGGCATCTATTCTGGCATTCTGTTTGACGTCTGTTTTGACGTCCTACCTGATATTCTATCTGGTATTTGTTCGGGCCCGTGCATGCCCAGACTGAGCTCTGGAGCTCGCAAGAGGGTTCGGTTCCGTGGATGGATAGGGTTTGGGCCCGTGTGTGCTCACACTGAGCCGGAGTTCGCGCTAGGCTTCTGAGCGATACCGCTCCACTTGTGCTGGCACTTCCTGACATCTGGGCCCGCTTCTGTCCACAATGACAACAAGTTAGCACAAGGAGGGAAGGAAGAAGGAAGGAGCAGCACCTTTGTTAAAATCTACATCGCTCACCTGGCAGGTGGGGAATTACTTTCAGCGAGCGATCAACCCCAACTGACATTATATCTGACGTACATTCTGACATTCCCATTCTATCTTGCATTTAGTCTGACATTTTATCTGACATGTATTCTGGCATTCTCTCTGGCATTCTATCTGACATTTCATCTGGCATTCTGCCTGACATTCTATCTGGAAACCTGTCTAGCATGCTATCTGACATATATTCTGCCATTCTATCTGGCAATCCGCCAACCCCGGCCGAGCAAGGGGGAGCAAGCAAGGAAGGGAACCACCACCACCACCACCACCGGCAGCACCAACACCAACACCACAACCACAACCACAACCACAACCAACAGCCCCAACAAACAACAGACAACCAACAAGAACAAACAACAAACAACAAACAACAACCAACAACACACAACCAACAAGAACAAACAACAAACAACAAGCAACAAGCAACAAGCAACAACCAACAACCAACAACCAACAACCAACAACCAACATCCAACATCCAACAACCAACAACCAACAACCAACCAACCAACCAACCAACCAACCAACCAACCAACCAACCAACCAACCAACAACAACCAACAACAACCAACAACAACCAACAACAACCAACCACCAACCACCAACCACCAACCACCAACCACCCACCACCACCACCACCAACAACAACAACAACACCTCTTGCTCCTGCTCCTGCTCTTACTCCTGCTCCTGCTGCCCTCCTCCTCCTCCTGCGGCTGCTGCTACTGCTACTTCTACTGGTACCGCTACTGCTACTACTGCTGCTAGGATGATGACGACGACCACCACCACCACTGTTACCACTTCTTGCACAACCTCCACTACCACCTTCACTACTACTAGCACTGCCACCACTACTACTGGTACTACTCCTCCTCCTCCTCCTACTCCTGCTCCTCCATGTGCGCTTCCTACTACTACCTACTCACCCCTTTCTACTCCCCCTACTTCCTCCCGCAACTACTTTTCCTTCTACTACTACACAGCAAGGTGCGGCACACATGGAAAAATCTCGCTTTTACCAGGATTTCAGAAGGTGCGTGGGACAGGCCCGTTTCGGTGCTAAGGCGCAGGTTTTGGGCATTACACGTGGCGCACTGCTGCCTTGCAAGCTGGTTCACACAAAGATGCGCACATTGAAAAATTACACTTTTAGTAGGATTTCAGAAGAGACTTTAGGTAGTTTTCCTGCCTCGCAAAATTTTGAAACTGGTGGAAAACTGCTGCTACTGTAAGGAGCAGGTTTTGGAGATGACACCTTTGTACTGCTGCTTTGCAAGCCGGTTCACAGCAAGATGCGGCACATGGAAGGCCGTCACTTTATTTGGATTTCGTTAGGCAACTTTCCCGTTTCGGAGGGTTTGAAACTGGTGTGGAAAACTGCTGCCAAGGAGCACGTTATTGGCATGACACTTGGGGTACTGCTGCTTTGCAAGCTGGTTCACAGCAAGATGCGGCACACATGGAAGAATGTCACATCAACCAGGGTTTCAGAAGAGGCGTTAGGCAGCTTTCCTGTTTCGCAAAGTTGTGAAACTGGTGGAAAATTGCTAGCAACCATGAACATGAAGCAGCCATTCCAATGCGATCTGCAGGGCTGCATGCAACTTTAGCATGGAGGACGCGCCCGAACGCAAGCCGCACCTGTCGCACAAACAGGCTTCCCCCTCATCGCCGCTGAGCAACACTTTGCGCGAGAAAACATAGGGTTTTGTGCGATGCCATATTGCGATCTGCCGTCACCGCGTTGCAAATCACAATAGAACTGCATCAGCCAAGGCTACACAATAAAACCTGAGCAGTGTACGACGCGCCCGAATGCAAGCCGCACCCGTCGCGCAAACAAGGTTCCCCACATCGCCGCCGGGAGGCACTTTGTGCGAACTAGCGCCACCTTGACGAAACAATTTGAATGCGATCTGCAATCACTGCCTCGCAAAGGACAATAGAACCGCGTCAACCAAGACTGCACAAGCAAACCTGAAGCAGCCATTACACGGACCTGGAGCTTGCGATAGGGTCCGGGTCCGTCCATCGGGTTCGGGCCCGCGTGTGCCCAGACTGCCGTGGAGCTCGCCACAAGCTTCTGGAGCGAGATTGCTCCACTTGAGCTGGCACTTGCTGTGAGATCCGGGTCCGTTGGTGCCCACAGTGACGACGGGCTGGCGGAAGAAGGAAGAGGAAGAGTGGCGGAGGAGGAGACTGTAGAGGAGGCGGAGGAGCTGCACCTTTGTTCAAATCTAGAGACCCTCACCTGGCAGGTGGGGAAAAATGTCAATAGTATGGTCAAAAGATGTCAACAGCTAACTACCTGGGAAAACTGCAGAACCTCAATGTGATTCATCATGATTTGTCCGTGTCTCTTTCAAATTTAAGGTACAAATATCCACAAACAGGACCAAGTCATTTCTCCTCGCACCAAGTTTCTTCCGAGCAGAAGAAATTCATGCCTGCGAAGGGCTTACATACGCGTTACTCCGCTGGTTGATCTGGAGTGGTAGTGATGAACCGACCAAAACTGGGGATGTAGAAACCAACAATCATTAGATACATATCGTCTGATTGGTAGTTAAGCATGGTTAAGCCATGATGAAAATCAACTGGCTTCATCAACGGTTCAGTGCATCTGCGGGATGAAAAATAGGGAATATGCAATTTTTTCTTTAAAGGTTGGTCATCTGGGCGATTCTCGAAGCTGGCCGTAGAAATCCATAGACTGCAGGGAAAGACGGAGGGCCACACTCTCCTAAGTCCAAGGTTTCGTGAAACATTCACTAGAGCGATCCGGACGGGGCAAGTGTTCCTATTTTCCACCCATTCTTCACGGCCATCTTGAAGATGGTTTGATGTGGGCCAAACGTAACCCGTAACCGCCCTTCGGGTAGCAACCTCATCAAACAGTTTCAATTCGCTAAACTGGATGAAACGACCCAACCTTGTGCGGCCACGCGGATGACAAGCTCAACCACGAAGAGGAAGGTAAAGACATAGTTCCCAACGTGGAAGGCGACCTGGTCTCCCTGATGCCACATGGATTCCGGCTGACGACAAAAATGCCACTGCAAGGAGAGAAATCTGGAAATTCATCAACGAAATGAAGGGATTTGACAGGCAAAAATGGACAGCGATCCACCAACGAGTCCTTTTTGTTATGTCCCAGCTGTTTGTTTCTTCAATCCTGGCCTCGGGATACTCAATGGAACTCTGTACATCAATTCCAATATATACCTGGCGTTGAGCGCTGTGAGCGCTTGGTCGAACTCTCGTCTTTGCCAGTCGCATGGTGGAACAACTGCACTGCTGAAAGTGCAGCCCCAAAAGCAGGCACACATTACAGTTTTTTCACCGTACAGTATGAAAAGAAATGGATTCACATTTAGCCATGTGGAACTCTTGGATCTCTGATGATGTTTTAGGGTTATCCTGTTCTGAAGACACTGATTTCGTTTCTACATCCTGCCAACTCCAAGTCCAAGTCGCAGTGTTTGCAATTACCTGGAGGCGCCAACAGTGCGGGACTGAATCTGACTCCGTGGTCACTCACAACAAGGGACTGAAAAAAATGGAACTCATCGTGGACTCATCGTGACCCAAAGAGCAATAATCATGTTGAATAACCATCAGAACATCAGTTGAATATCAGGTTCTTTCAGAAATACAGGTTTTGCATGGTTTTGCCCTCGAAAAACACTAGGGGAAGCGGCCCCAGCACAGCAACGGTCGCCGTGCTGTATGATATCCTCGATGTCTGCAGCCATAGAACGGTAAGGGCAAAAAAGGCGTCAAATGCAGGGTGCCCGAGGATCCTTTAGCCGATGGGCCCCATAAAACACCAACCATTGGGATTTCGACCATGGGACCCTGACCATGGGATCTTGATCTAAAGCGCCTAAGTGAGTTGGCCAAAACATGCATATCTAATAGCAAGAGACAAAGTCTCTGGCTTCAGGCACTCAAATGTCGATCCACAACCACCTTTAAATGCAAACTTGAAAGAACGTTCATTCCCAAACAAAAAGTGCTGCTATTTGTGATTGTCTCAAAATCGGGTACCCCAAAATCTCATGCTTAGTGGCTATAAAATGAAGGACCCAGTGCCTATTCTGGGACAAACCCATGTCATATTGTTGGTTTATCCCATTCGATCCCATTGTATCCAATTACCTCCAATAAAATGGTTGGTGTCGTACCTCCATAACTTTGTTGGTGATAAACATCTACTCATTTATCAGAGCAGGTTGCTTGGATGTCTGATGATACCTGATGTGCATCGTAAGTGAGATGCATATAACCCATACATATGTGTTTATATATATATACATAATCCATTAATCTAGCCGCGTCATAATGTAGTCGTATTACCCACTTACTTGGTGGTTCACCTCAGTAGGTGGGAGCGTTGCAGGATGTCCCTGGTCCTTGTGATGAGAGGAGGTTCTTGAGGTTCTTGGATCTGTTCAGTCTTCAGCGATGCAAACCTTGGGCGATGAAAAGCAGTGATTATATGATACAATACAATACAATACAATATAATAATATAATATAATATAATATAATATAATATAATGTGATATGATATGATATAATATGATATATAATACAATAAACTACAATGAAATACAATATATTATAACTAATAACAAAACATAATAAAATATGATTTAACATAACATAATATAACAAAATATACTATAATATAATATAATATATAATATATAATATATAATATATCATATATAATATATAATATAAAATAAAATATAATATTTAATATAATATAAAATATAATATAATATTGAATAGTATAGTATAATATGATAAAATGTAACATAAAGGAATATAATATAGTGTAAAATTTATATATAATATGAAATAAAAGAAATAAAATATGAATAATATAGAATTTGAAGAGAAAAAAACATATATAATAGAAAACGAAATAAGCTAATATTTGAAATATATATATATATAATGGCACTATAATAAAATAAAAGATTAATCTATTATAATTTCATATGTTAACAATTAGTATGATGTAATATAATTCAATATAATAAAATATAATACAATAAAATACAATGAAATATAATATATTATAACTAATAACAAAACATAATATAGTATGATTTAACATAACATAACATAACATAACATAATATAACAAAATATACTATAATATAATATATATTTAAAAAATAAATAAATGAATAAAATAATGTAACATAATATAATATGACAACAAAATATGATATATTATCAAATTACATAATATAATATTATATTATATTATATTATGTACAATAACAGAATATAGCGTAATATAATATTGTAGAATATTATGTAATATCATATAATATCATATAATATTATTTTATATTATATAAATATAATATAATATAAATATACTGTAATATAATGTAATGGGAGGTGGGTGTTGTGAGCGCCATTTTTTTTTGCATTTTGAAGTTTATTTCTTGCAAAAGATACTAAACCCTGTTCTTTCCAAAACCAAACATTGTTGCTTCTGCAACAAAAGCAACCACTGTGCGTTCCCAATAGCACTCCCAGGTCATACATAGATAGATAGATTTAACCAAAACAAACATGAATATATAGTAGATCAAAACAACAAAACAAACAAGTGCAAAAGGCCTTTGCAAAGAGTGCAGCATTGCTTTAAGACACTGTAGACCCCACATCTCTACAGGAGTTTCCCTCAACATACGCAATAGTTCTTTAAAAAATTATGCAAAAAAAAATCTAAACAGGCACCAACTTATGCAACATGTTCTCTATAAATAATGAAGGAAAAATAAACTTGCAAACAACACTTGTAAAATGACTTTGCACAAAGAACACCATTTCTCAATGTATGCAACAACCCTTTGCAAAAATGGTTGCATTCTTTGGAAGATGTGCATTACTTCCCAATTTCAGGGAGAAGCCTCCCATATATGTACTGAATCATTTGAGAAATCATAGCATTCCTGTAGGAAAATGTGGCATGCTGTTCCGCAAGATTGAATTTCTTTGTAAATTGCTACAACATAGTTTTGAAAAGGGTGCAATCTTACTGTCAAAGGGCCCTTCAAACCTTGCAAAACCTTGGTCAATAAAGTGGCACATTCATTGAAACATGTGTTTACATTTGAAAGTGTAGATTCTTGTTTGCAACGTGTGAAGCATTCCTGTAAGAAAGCGTAGCAAGAGCCTACTGCAGATTCCGTTGGTAGTGCAAAAACACTTTAAAAGGGGATGTGTTTTTTTGTTTTAAAGCAAGTGCAGCGCCAACGTTTGCACTATCTTTCAAAGGGTACAGCTAATCTATGGAAATGCTGCGTTGTTCTGAAAAGGGTGCTATGTGAGTTTTAAAAGGTCTTCAAATGTGCAATATCGTTGAAAACAAAGTATATAGAGTATTGCTTGAAACAATGCAAAACAAACTTTTTGCTGTAAACAAGTGCTACATGCCTATACAAAGAATGCAGCAGCATAATTATCTGCAATATCTCTTTCAAACTAGTGCAGCATTTGCGTGAAAAGATTGCCATATTACTGCAAACCGTGCAAAATCTGTGTCAATCAAGTAAAGTGTTCCTTTGAAGATGCATATATCTATACATGTGTATGTGTATATATATATATATGTAGTTTTAAAAAGTGACGAGTTTCTTGGCCAATCTGTAGCATCCCTCCAAGAAAGTGTAACATGAGTCTACAGCAGATTCCAGCGATGATGCAACAGTGCTTGGGAAGATAGTGATACTACTTCAGCAAAGTGTACCACCAATTTATGCAACATGCGTTTCAAAAAGTACAGCAAGTCTGCAACAAAAGTGCTTTTGAGGTTGCAACATGACTCTCAAGTCGTCCTTCAACATGTGCAAAAGTTTTTGTGAATACAGTAGGCCATTCCTTTGAAAAATGCATTTGTTTGTCCAAACAAATCATGCAGTATATACAGTGGACCTATATATGAAAACCAACGGTGTGTTTACATTACAAGAAAGTGTTACATTGCCATATCTGTCAGGACTAATCTGGATTAATCTGGATTAATTTGGATAAATCCAACACCACAACAACAACAAAACAAAAAAAAAAACAAGGATTTGGCAACAAGTCCAGAGACCAGAGTAGTTGGGAAAACAGTGTTATTTCTTCTTGCTGTTGTTTGTGTTTTGGTTTTGCAACCATCGAAGCAGACAAAAAGCCGCAATTGTAGGCTATTCACAAGCTTTAAACACCCAAAGCCAAAGTGGTTCTTAAATCAAACCATAATACAATATATAATAATAAAATATATAATAATATAATATAATACAATATAATAGAATAGAATATAATAGAATATAATAGAATATAATGTAATATAATATAATGTAATATAAAATAATATAGTACAGTATAGTATAATATAATATAATATAATAGAATAGAATAGAATGTACTGTAGTATATATAATATATCATGTTGTAACATAATATATTATCTTGTAATATATTATATTGTGTTATAGTATATTATATTAAATTATATTATATTATAATACAATATAATACATTATATTACAATATAATATATTATATTGTAATATAACAGATTATATTGTAATACAATATTATATTGTAATATCATATATTTTATTGTAATATAATAGATTATATTGCAATATAATATATTATATTGTAATATCATATATATTATTGTAATATAATATATTAAACTGTAATACAATTCAGTAAAATAAAAATAAGTATAATATAAAAGAAAAACACAATCTTATTTCAACAAAAGTAAACAGCACAATATAGTTTAATATTAAAGTATATATAATATAAGATCATAAAATATAAAATAGTATAGTGTAATGAAATATGATTTAATATAGTAAAATCAGAACTATAAATTTAATACAATTATATTTTAGTATAATACAGCAATATATAATACAATGTAGTACATTTTAATAAAACGTGATATAAGTAATATAATACAATATAACTTAATAACATTTAATATAATATGATATGGTATAAGAATCTCAAAAACAAAAAAAATAGAATAAAACTGAGTTAATACATTCAATCAAGATAGAATATAACATAATAGTATATATTTTCAAAAAAAAAAACAAAATATATAAGTTTAATACATATGTTAATATAGTATGATCAAATAAAAAATCGTAAAATATAATATATAGTTTAATATCATATAACTTCATTTATCATAATATATTATTATTATAATACAAGCATATTGTAGCAACATAAAATGGAATAAAATAAAAGATAATGCAACATAACACAATATGATACAATATAATGAAATTATAATATATATAATTTTAATAATAATAATTAATAATAACAATATGTATTGTAATATAGTATAATTAATATTATACCATACAATATAATATAATATTATATAATATAATATAATATAATGTAATATAATATAATGTAATATAATATAATGTAATATAATATAATATAGTATAGTATAATAGAATAGAATAGAATAGAATGTATTGTAGTATATATAATATATCATGTTGTAACATAATATATTATCTTGTAATATATTATATTGTATTATAGTATATTATATTAAATTATGTTATATTGTATTACAATATAATGCATTATATTACAATATAATACATTATATTACAATATGATACAATATAATGAAATTATAATATATATATATATATTATATTATATATATTATATATATTATATATATTATATATATTATATATATTATATATATTATATATTATAATAACAATAATAATATGTATTGTAATATAGTAAAATATTATACCATACAATATAATATAATATGATATAATACAATATAATATAATATAATATAGTATAATATAATATAGTGCAATATAATACAAACGGGGCTATATCCACAACAAAACTTGGAGATGTATGAACTAAGATACCCTTCAAACGAAGTCTTGTTTTAGCTTGGTGTGAAATATTTCGAGAAAAACGTACGACGCACTCACCTACTCAACCAACGTTTACCCAGGTGGGAAGAACTAATCATGAATGTGTGCAACTGAAAACAAGGCACCACTAGACCCACAACTTCGGTCATTGTTGGTCTTTTAAACAAATCGAATGCCGAAGCAAGCATTTTGAGTTATAGCCATAGCTGCACTTTCGGAAATGTTCATGCCAAGTGGATTCAGCTGGGACCCATGACCATGCAAGGGAATATCCCCTATCACAGTTCATAAATGGCAGGAGATCCCCAATGGATCTTTTAATGGGATCATCTACAAATAGCGGCTTTGATTCCAGAGGGTACGAGTACCAACTGCCACACTCTGTTTCTCCGATTACCGGGCCTTCGCCGAGAGCGCACAGCGTGCATGTTGAAAGCTCCCTGCTTCAAACTCAGGTCCGCCCTCAGGAATCCATGACAACAGAGGGATCCAGGTATAGGGACATTGCAGTGAAAAGGCGTCTGGGAGTCAGAACTCTATCAATATTCATTGTTGGGGATGAAGCTGTTGGAGATGCTGATACACCAGCTCCACTGTTGGACAAATCTGTCAAATGGAAACGAGACACAATCCATGGGCCATCTGTCCATGGACCATTCTCCAACCTGCCCTGGCACTTTTTCATTTCTTGAGGGATTTGGTTGTCCTTGCATCAATCCTAAGACTGAACTTGCGGTCTACCACAGAATCGTCCTGTGCCAAAAATATCCAAAAATACCCTCCAAATCCCTCGGACCATAATTGTGGATTGGGGCAGTGAGGGTGGAGCAGTTGTGATGCCAACAGTTTTTCTGGAAAATTCACTGAAACTGTTCGCATCGTCTTTTGGATTGTGCCAAGTCGCTGGGTGTAGGTGGTGAAGAATTGAGGTGTAAAGGTAGCTTTTGCTCGACCAGAGACCCGCCGTGGCTTCAAGGACAAGCGACTGGACATGCTGCTTTTATGCGACCTCAGTACTCAAATTTGCTGTCTGAAATTAGCTACCCCGGTACAGTACCCAAGAATTCTGTGTTTTGCATTCATATTCCCAAAAACCGTTATTACTACTATTCTTATTATAGTACACAGTATTCATACGTATGCACATATACATATACATTATATAATACATATATATATAGAGAGAGAGAGAGAAAGTATAGATACACGAATTAATAGTGCTTTCCTGCTTGATATTCGTGGCATATTTGGGTTACCCCAAAAGGCGCCATTCTTGTCGCACCCCATAAAACACACCAAGGCACACTGCAGGGCCCACCTCTAGGGGCGCCAACTTTTTCTCTGCGGGAGCACGGAGGAGTGGCTTCGCCAGGGTCTTTTCCAGTTGCTCCAAAATTTTATCCTGGTAACCTGGAGATGGGGAAACCTCCATAACTGGGGTACCCCAATAGCTGGATAGTTTTTTTTCGGGAAAATCCCAATCTAAAATGGATGATTTTGTTGTACCCCCATTTATGGTAACCGATGAACTGGAGATGTGGGGATATACCCGGTGTCATCAAGCATGGCAATGGAAAATCACCGAACTTTCTATGGAGGTTTCTAGCTGGGAAATTCATCTACAAACTGGTGATGTTCCATCTTTGATTACCGGTAATGGAGATATAATGGGGATATCATGGGGATGATTATATAGCCTAGAGATGAACTGGAGAACTGGAGTTCTGGAGATATCATGGAGATATGCTTTGTTCGTCAGTTCACCCATGGAATCCCCTCGTTTTTTCACACCAAAACCGCTGGTGGATGGATGTTCACCGCTATGATTGAGTTCGATTCATACTCATATGGCAGTGTGTCAAAACCTTGTACCCCTGGTGAACATCAAAATAGCTGGTAAATGGATGTTCATCTCCCTAAAAATGGTATTAATAGGTATTGATCCATACCCATATGAAAACGGGATGTAATCAGTCTACCTGTACCAGTTATTCTCCAGCGTGACCAAGAGAAAGTTGCAGATGTACAACGTACCAACCATGCTATGGGGATGTTTCACGGGGAATTCGGAATATCATAGGATAAGAAAAAGTAGGAGATACTTCAGCGACAAAAATGGGGAGATCATATGATATCATGGCGGGACAATGGGATATCGGAGATATGGTCGCCTAATTCAACCGGGTCTGTCCGGGATGGGGGATTTACAACCCTAGAAGTGGTCATTCCTTTTGGAATATGATGAACCACTAGATTTAGAGAACCAAAGTGATGGTCGAACCGACCAGTAGCGGGCTCGTTCACTCTGTGTCTGGTGAATTTCAGAGCTTGAAACGATCTCTCATATGGGTATTGTATGGGTATGGGCGAGACCTAGAACAATGGACCAAGAAAATTGATCAAAATTGGTAATGTTTGGTACTCAAGCAAACTCAACCATCCATTTGGGGGGGACTGATTTTGACCGACGGATTGGCATGATGATCCAACCCAAAGAAGCAAAGAACCACCTAGGATTGGCCAAAATGCATCCCACCATGCACCCTCAAAATTACTTTACTTCGTGTGATCCCCACCATGACATTTATACATTTTCTTACTGGCAAATCTTCTGGCATTCTATCTGACATATCTTCTGACATTCTATTTGACATTCTATCTGGCATATCTTCTGGCATATGATCTGGCATATCTTCTGGCATATCTTCTGGCATTCTATCTGGCAAATCTTCTGGCATTCTATCTGGCATTTCTTCTGGCACTCTATCTGACATATCTTCTGGCATTCTATCTGGCATATCTTCTGGCATATATTCTGACATATCTTCTGGCATTCTATCTGACATATCTTCTGGCATATATTCTGACATATCTTCTGGCATATCTTCTGGCATATCTTCTTGCATATCTTCTGGCATATCTATCTGGCATATCTTCTGGCATATTTTCTGGCATTCTATCTGGCAAATCTTCTGGCATTCTATCTGGCATTCTATCTGGCATATCTTCTGGCATATTATCTGTCATTCTATCTGGCATATCTTCTGGCATATCTTCTGGCATATCTTCTGATATTCTTTCTGACATTCTTTCTAACTTTCTTCTGCGCATTCTTTGTCCCATATCTTCCTACATGAGGTCCGGCAGGGAACACTGGGCGTGGATACTCGCGGTTGAGGTCCGGCAGGGAACACTGGGCGTGGATGGTCGTGGTTGAGGTCCGGCAGGGAACACTGGGCGAGGATGGTCGTGGTTGAGGTCCGGCAGGGAACACTGGGCGTGGATGGTCGTGGTTGAGGTCCGGCAGAGAACACTGTGGATCGCGGGTCGCAGTTGAGCAAGGACGACGAGGACGACGAGGACGACGAGGATGACAAGGAGGACGAGGAGGAGGAGGAGAGAGGACGAGGCAGGAGGAGGCGGAGGAGGAGGAGGAGGCAACTGACATAAAATCTAACAACCCTCACCTGGCAGGTGGGGAAATAGGCTCTCAGTTCGATCGTTCGATCCGTTGCCTCCTGTCTTTGGGTTTAAAGACAATGAAAACAAACAAAATGTGAATCCCATATCAATCCGGATCCCTTGTGTGATATGTTCAGTCTTGTCTTCAACCCTCCCTCTTTCGACCAGAAACTCAATCTCTCCAAGACTTGAAGATGTTGTTCCTCCATCGTCAGGTACAAACTTTCGATCGATGCCGGTGCCTCGTTGTCGGCCTCTGCTTCTCTGAAGGCATGGCCCGGATTCACCTGGAAAGTGCCGTTGCTGGGCTGTTTGTTGAAGCCTCTTAGGGGTTAGTGCGGTTAGTGGTTTCAACATGTTTCAACATGTTTAAAGCCCCAAAATATTGGTCCATTGGGATCATCTCAAGAATTGGAAGTGTTTCATAGCTAGAGCACCCAGTGGCATATGGACACCCAGTTGTGTATGTATGGGTGGACAAACACCAGCAACCGACAAAAATGCAGACCTAGGGTTCTTGTGGCAAGTGCAAAGCCCGGTTCGCTTGGGTCAAACTGCACACAACCCGAACAAACTGTGTGGTGAGAATTGGCACATGCAATACTATTTGGAACTTTACTCCGAGAATTTTGATGGAAACGGTGGTGTTCAAGGTCTTACTCAAACTCAGTTTTTACAGGAAGCCTCTCACAAGAGCTGAACTTTTGTATCTTCAACTTTTACTCTACGAGGAAGTCTCGCACAAAATGCTCGCCTTCAACTCTTGTGAGTTTCTCTGAGAAATCATTCCAAAGAGTTTGAAACATCGTTGTATTTAGATATATATATATATATATCGCATAGAGATTCTTGAAGAAGTCTTTGTGCAGGGATTCTTGTCGAAATTACAAGGACATCTTGTAGAGATGTGGAAAGGTCCTTGCCCTCTAAGATGTCCTTGTCCATAGATCATTTGAGCAACGATATCTTGAAGAATTCCTTGTGGGATCCTCGAAGGGTGCCTTTCGAGATCTTGCGGGTACCGAGATTCCTTCAAAGATCCTTAGATAAGGATACCTTCTGCAGATATCCTTGTATAATCTTGTATGCAGAATGTCCTTGTACATATATATATATATATTTATTTATTTATTTATATTTATAGAGAGAGAGAGAGGTCTTGTGAGAGGTCCATTCTCAGAGATGATTGAAAAGCTCCTGGTGCAAGGAGGCTTTCATTTCCTAACTTGTATACCTTACTCCGCAATGTTTGGGGTCTATTCCGCCTTACCCCCATTTTCCATAGGTAAAATTCCCGTTGGATCATTAAATTGATTAAATCATTGAATCCAATCTTCCATGGCTTCCCAGTGGCAGGTAGACTTCGATGGCACTCGGGTGCTTCATCATCCTCCAGAGCCGCTATAGCAGCCTGCTGGACGGAGCCATCCAAGCCATCGATCTGCGGACCTGAATCCGCCATCACTGTTTAAGGCAAAAAACTCGACTTTCTTGTATGATTTTCGCTGAACCCAACAACGGGTACTTCTTCCAAAGTCTGTGGAGGGATAGAACCCTGACAAGACCGCCTTGCCGGGTGACCAAGCTACAAGAACTGGGAGATCCTGGGAATCCCGTTCTCACCCCCATCAACGTTGCAGGTCTATGTTTTGACATGTTTTGACACTATTCGGATGCCCCTTGTTGCGCGCTTGTTGTTTGTGAGCTGAGCCAAAGAAATGGCTGGTGGAGACAAACTGATGAAAGTCTCACCCATCTGCTCTGGTCTGGTTGACAAGACGAAGCTGCTCACACTGTATATCGATTATGTATATATATATATATATATTCATACGTATATTATATATATGCATATATGTATATGATATATATATATATATGTATATATATGAATATATGTACATATATATATATATTATTATATTATATTATATATATTATATATATATTATATATATTATATATTATATATATATTATATATATTATATATATTATATATATATATTATATATTTTATACATATATATATATTATATTATATATATATATATATTATATATATATATATATTGGTAAATTATAATATTTCACTAATTAACCTGAATTAAGGCCATTTGGGGATGATTTCCCTTATTAACCATGATTCCAGTGAGGTTGCAGTGAGGTCGTTATAATCTACCCACAACGACATCAAGCCCGGAGCCCACGACTTGCCTCCAACACACCGGAACTGCCCGGTGTTTCACCGGTGGGCCAAAAGAAAAAAAGTCAATTATGCTGTGGGGAAAAGCTGAGATGAACCAAATCTGATCCCGCCTGGCATCATGATGACTTTTCACAGAGTTGGTTGGATTTGATGCATCTTGTGCGTAGCGTTTCGACTGCAATAGTTTGCTTCTCAATCCAATGAGTTTACAGTTTACCCCACATGAACCCCCCCAAACCAAAGGCTGCGGATGGGTTGCGGAAGTCCTGCTGGTCATGAGAGTCCCCACACCCACATGGCTCAGAGTCTTCCGGGTTCCAAGTCTTACAGCTTTCAGGAAGCGTCCAAGACACGTGAAGCAAGAGGCTTGTGGTGGGTTTCTGCAAAAGCATTGGAAACCGAGAATCCAGTGGTTAAACAAAACATTGTCCCTATTAAAGCGGCTATAAATGCAGGCCAGAGCCAATTCTGGGATGCACCCACTTGGAGTGGTTCAGCTCTACACCCAACCTATGCGTCAGATTGGCTCTTGCGCAACAGACAACATCTATGGATACATCCACTTGCCAGGTGGGCACCTGGCCCAAGTGAAAAGAAATTCTTTGTTTCGCACCCTCAGTTGTAGATATACAGTACGCATATACATAATATCTACGTATATATACATATATATATATATATATGCATATCATATATCTCATGTAGGTATGTATATATATATATCATGTCTCTATGTAATCATGTATATATATATATATACATATCATGTATGTATATATACATATAATGTATCTATGTATATATATATATATATCAAATCATATATCATATCATATCATACCATATCATATCATATCATATATCATATATCATCTATCATCTATCATATGTCATATATCAAGTATCATGTATCATGTATCATGTATCATATATCATATATCAAGTATCATATATCATATGTCATATGTCATATCATGTCACATAAATATATATATATATATATATATAAACATATCGAATCATGTGTGTGTATCTATATATATATTGTATGAATTGTATGTATAATCTACACACATTAGGCAGGATCACATTGTCCGCCAAGGCGCTAAGGACTTGCTGCTGTCGTCTCCCAGGCCATTCCACGCCAAGCCCAGGTACTGGGCACGGTGACCCCATTGGGACCCCATGGGAATAAACGCGACCCATCTGGCCATGGGTTTGGTACCTGAAAGTTTAGGGTATAACCGGTATAACGGTACAACCCTGAAATTTGATGGTTGACCAGTTTCTTTAATTGGTGGTCCCTATTCTCAAACAAATCCAAATGTTCGCCAGATCGCACCTGGGCCTGACAATCATGGGTGATTTCAGGGCCCTTTTGGCTGAATTGTTGGCGAAAACCCATGTTGGTAAATTGAGGCATCCCTGATTTCCGGGAAATCCCGTTTTTGGTGCGAAACCCTCACTTTGGGTGAGAAGACGATGGACGGCCACGCCTATCCCACAAAGCTTCACATGCTCAAGTCATAGTTGTTATCACGGAGGAGTTTTGACTTCAGATCTCAGACTGCAGGCCTTGAGGTTGGGTTGCTTCTGCAAGATCCTTACCAAGGGAAGCAGGCCTTGCAGTGACAACATCTCCCTTTTCCTGTTTTCGTGCCGAAGCAATTCATGGCAGCACAAGATCCGGAGATCAGCATTGATCAATGTCAACAACACACCAACCTTGGAGTCTTCATCTGGAAATTTCCAATGACATGCAGCATCTGCCATCCCTGCCATCCCTGCCTTTGCTCCCGATGTAGTTGCCCAACAGCCTGAGCCAACAGAGAGATTCATCTGCAAAAATAGATCTGTAAGATCTGGTGATTAATATGGCCAGTGGAAGCAATGGGATGTAATTGATGGAGATTGTCCTGAAAAATCACCAACAGTATGGGAATCTATGTCCATAGATGAATTCCCTGCAACAATCATGAACTTGCGGCCGCTTGTACCAGACCGCAAATCATCGAACTAAATGGGCCATCTATGCCGTAGCTATGTTAGATTCCATAGTAATTGATAGGTAAATCATTGTACCCTCTGGTAAACTAACATAACTATGGAAAATCACCATTTTCAATTGGAAAACTCACTATAAATGGCCATTTTCAATAGCTATGTCAGCCATTACCAGATGGTAAATCATTGTAAATCATCCATTGTTCGCCATTTCCACATGTGCCATGGCTGCCATGGCGATTGTCGCCCCCTGGGATCTCCGTTCTCCAGGACAAGCAGGGAATGCAGGTGATGCATCATGGGCGCCTTGGCTGCAAAAACCCTGGTTCCCAGGGCTTGCCCGAAAATCATGGGAAAAACCAGAAAAAAAACAGGGGAAACAAAAACAACAACAACAAAAACAACATTATCCCTACTAAATGGCTATAATTGGGGGTATACCCCATTTTCAGACATACCCATATCATCCTCTGGCTGATCATCGTCAGAATTGCTTAATTAACCAGACTTTTTGACTGAAAACCATGGTTCATCATCATTTGATCCCATCAAAATAGCCATCAACTGGTGTTGTTTCAAACATGCGCTGATATGGGCTCTAGGCACCAGCTGGTGTGTCTCCTCTCCAAGGTGTACATAGCGCAAGTCCAACTCCTGAACTGAACAGTGTTCAGACATAGGGATCTATTGGTGAACTGGGTACAAAACCGACCACATTGGATCCCAAGAATTCAAAAAAAAAAACAATTTGGCCGGTAAATGGATATCCATCCCAGCCAATGGGAAATTATAGGCTCCCCCCAAAATAGATGGTTAATACACCCTCATTAGCGGTTGTTGGTGGTTGGCGGTTATCTAATCTAATAAGTCGCTTATGCTTTGGCTGATCCACCACTTAAGCGATATGCATTCCCCACAGGTTCCAGGTACTTTGCCCCACAACTTCTCACTCTTCGATTTTCCATTTAATGGAATACAGTATCTCAATCAAATGGGTGTGTACCATGGTGTATCCAAAATCCACTGGTGAATGATCATATTCCCGATGAACATGTTTTTTTCGGACATACCGAAATCACTATATCCCATATTATATCTGAATTGTATGCCCCTTATGGTTGGTTATGCCAGAATATTATGGGGATATATCTATTGGTTATAGAGGTCCCACAATCATTACAGTATCCCAAACCCAATTATGTTTATGATGGTTATCATTATTGTTGGTTAGATATCCGAAATGATCACAATTATTATATCCAAATATACTCATTCATTATTGCTAAGAAACCCCGAATTGGAACCAGAAAATATCATCACAATTATGGTCATTATGTCTGAATATGTCCTATCTGTCCCTATCATATTTCTATTGTTTCTTTGGGATCCATGGTGTCCCGTGGTTCCCGACCTGCTCAAAGGGATCCATCTTCTCTAAGCAGAGTTGCGGGACCAGGGCGATCTGAAGGCGTTGACCAACAAAAAAATGCGTGGTTTCTTGAAGGGAAAGAAATGACATGAAACAATCCTAAAATTTGTAAAGTCAGATGTTGACCAGTCAGCATCTCACTTTAGAATGACTATAGACTCTAGGCTGATTGATTAATTTCATTTAATGGCTGTCCATGTTTGAAGTGATTTAGACTTGATAGTTGAAAATAATGGTTTCAATCATGTGTACCAATAGTATGGATGACTGTTCATATTCGAACATATGAACAAAAATTTAGGTTTCAAGAAAATTGGTTTAAGGGAAAATGAAACCATTGTTGTTTGTTACTGAATATGGGGTTCTCCCTTAAACGGCTGAGAAAATGGCATTTTATAGCTATCATTAAATATATTCGGCATCAGGTTTGTAAAGGATATGGATGGTTCACCAGCGTGAAACCTAATTTCAATGGAAGACAATACATTTTTTGGATTGACCTAATTCTGACCCATACCCGTGAAGACTTGGGCTGCAAAAACTTGTGAGTCGGAAGCTCGCCTCTCATGTTGTGAGATCATTCCAGGCGCAAGCTTTGGTTTTTTTGGGGACCCCCTTGTTCTGCCCCTCTACATGGTGCGGGATCAAGATGTTGGAGGGACACCGCGTGTCTCCTCGACCACGATGAACTGGTGCAAGTCCACATCAAGCCAATGACTCTTTGGTTTTGTTAAGTCTACACTGTCTACACACATGATTACATCATGAAAATACCAGTTCACACTCATCTATGTTTTTTATATACTATAACATGCAACATC